GTGTGTGCCTATGTTGGACATGGTTAGCTAGAGTTCATGAGCAGAGAGCTATTCCTCAGAGATGGTTGGGGAGAATGGGGAGGAAAGTTGATTGGGGTAGAGTCAGGGGATGCAAGGCAAGCCGTGAAGGAGCTTAGAAAGGGGCCAGGCTATTTCACAATGTTGGGCAAGGGAGGTATGATGAGAGTAACTGGACTGGCCAGTACAGGAGAAAGAGAGCAATTTGGTTCATGACCCCGGTTCTAATCCACTTCCTGCCCAGAGGCTTAGTGATTGGATGGTGGGGTACCTTGACCTCAGGCTGCTGGTGGTGAGTGCTAGGTCCATCTGGAATAAGACCTCATCTGTTTACAGTGTGGTGGTGGATGAATAGGTGAATCTGGCACATATTACTGAGACATGGTTAGATGAGGCTGGAGATCTAGCCCACCAGTGGCCCTTCCTGAGCTCCTAGGTCTATTGTAGGGCTGATGGTGAAGTGCCCCAGACTTATAGTGCTGAGGAACTTCAACCTCAGTGCCATGTCCAAATGTGCTGAGGATTTCATGATAAAAGTGACTTGTCCCAGATTGTCTCAGCCCCAATGGATACAGGCTATCACATAGACTTGGTGTTCATCTCCAAGTAGATGGCATGTGATCCAAATATAGGGGATATTGTCACCAGTCCTTTGGCATGGTGAGATCACTTCTTGCTCAAGCTGCACATCATTGGCATCCCTGACCCTGCAAAGGTAGAAGACCAATTAGGATAGTCTGCCCCAAGTACTTAATAGATTTGGATGATTGGATTTTTCCAGTAACCTTCTGTGGAGATTAGAAAGGAGAATGTTCTTCCAGCCACTGTGACACATTTGTCAGATTCTTTACAGATAACATTGCTCATATTCATTCAGGGCTGGATGCCACTTGGGCAGAGTCATCCATGATGACTGGGGTAAAGTCTTGTAACGTTACCTGAGATTCATTTGATGTTCTGGAATCTGAGGAAATCGATTATATCCTCTGTAGAGTAGTGTGAGTTCCATCATTTGTGGGCTAGGATATTTAATCTTTTGGAAACTGCTTCAACCCCAGCTGGGCACAGGAAACCCAGAAACAGCATCTCTCAAAACATAGGGTGGTGGCTGTTTTCTTTTTGAGAGCCACAGACAGGAAGAGGAGCCACTGATCCTTCTCAAGCTCCACTCCAAGTATTTGGCATGAGCGCTGACATGTCATCAAACAAGGAAATGCTACCAAATTCTCTTCCCCCTTGGTTGCAGTCACCATCCTGGCTGAGATCCTCTAGCCACTGCCACTGAAGAGCTACATGCAACTCCAAGGAGTGCATTTAGTGTCATGTCTTGGCCCAAACTAAAATCCCTTCTGGATAAGTTATTTCTAAATTATTTAATAGGGATTCTTGAGGGTTCCTAGATTCTGAGAGAACAGTTGCACTGCAATCAAAGTTGTAACCTTAAACCTCTAGGGAATCAACTCCACTGAACACCATGGCTACATTTGCACTCCCCATTAAGCCAGCTTTCTCCAGCTTGGGCATCAGGGTTTTCATCTGGCCAGTTTGTGCACATTGGACATTAACTTTGCTCTGCTCTTCCTGATGGGTGTCATGTTGTGTCCAGATGCTGAGCTTGTGCATCTCTTCCAGGCAGCAAAGTACTGTATCTCTGTACTTCTGTTTTTTACAGGAAAGGATGATCCCTCATAACAGAAGATCAACTACAGTATACAGTGATACCTCGGGATACGAACGCCTCTGCTTGCGAATTTTTCGGGTTACGACCAGCCCTGCCCCCAAATTTTTACCTCGGTTTGCGAACTCGGCCGCGGGGTACGAGCCATTTTCCGCCTGTGCCACGTGGTCCGCGGCCATTTTCTGCCCGTGCCACGTGGTCCGCGGCCATTTT